CTACGGCGTATTGAATTAACTTATTCACTATTTTAATGATTGAGGTCCTAAAGCATCTTATCACACATGTAAAAATGCAATAATTATAATAATAAGACACACAAAATAAACAAAATTAAATTTAGTAGCCTAAAAATCGGCAATTTTGAATAAAAAAAATAAAAGTCAAATATCTCGAAAAGGGTTAAGTTTAGGGTAGGGTGTTTCATAGTAAAATAAGTCAGAAATGATGAGTACTCCACGCCCTTAACGGATCTAGCACGAGTTTTCCTGTAACCCTGTATATATATACAGTCGAAAAAAGAATTTCGTCGTAATTTTTTCTTGGAAAGAGGGTACCTCAGTAGTGATTCCATTTAAATTGGACGTAAATATTCCACATCTAAAGGTGGCAAATTAGTGGTCAATCCGGTTTCGCGCATTTTCTGGTAACCGATTTCATGAAACTTGGCAAATAGATGTAATTATACAAACTATTGGGGTCGTTTTTTTTAGTAATTTGTATTGAAATTATTTGAGTAGACGCATCATTAAAGTAGACCAAACAGGAAAGTAGACGAAATGGGAATTAGACGAATCGGGAAAAAAAAGTGGATCGATCGGGAAAGTAGACCAAATGCATCGAAGGGATATCTATGTGTAAAAAACAGCCAATTACGACCAACATAAAGAAAAACTGTTTTGCTAGAACAAATTTCGTTAACATCAAATTCGATTTTATGTATTTTATAATTATATTCTAATTTCGACCATTTCTGAAAAACAAAACAATTTGATTCGACTTCAATTCTAATATCAGTCGAGATCTTAGAGGATGGAAAAAAATAATGGAAAGGAGATCTACGGAATAAACGTACCTACCTAACCAAAAAATATCCACCATGAATGGCGGATTTCTTTATTGTTGTACCATAATTATGGATATGTCAATATCGATATATATGCAAATGTACGGCTTGAATGTTGAAACTGTTTTTTTTGTTATGTTTGTAATTGTATAGTTTACTGTAATCAAAGTATGATTAAAATGTTTAATTAAAGTAGATCAATACTCATTGTCATATGGGAATATCCAGGATGAGATTTTGAATTTATTATTTTGCATTTCTAAATGCTCTCATATTACGAAAAATAATAGAAATCAGGAGATCATAGAGTTCTCCTCATCGCATTTCCAATCTCAAGACTGATATTAGATTTTTTTAAAGTTTCCAAATAGTTTAAGCTGTTTTGTATTTATGTATTGGTATAGAATTAATATCAGTGATTTTGATTTAGGTGAATCAAACACTTCCATTTAATTTTTGAAAGAAATAAAATTACTTATATAATTGTAATAACATTATCGATAATCATAAAATCAGATATAATATTAATAATAATAGGTTATGTTTCTTTGCCTAAAAGACGGTATAAAATAATAATAATGAAAAAATAAAAACCTCGTAAAAAATAACACATACACCGGTTGATTTCCGCCTTTTCTACTGCTGCAACCCCTTAATGCCACATCGACGCATTTTAATCAACACTTATTGGTTCTCACTGTCAATATTTTTCTCCATTTCATTACAATTCATGCGAATAATGCACTAAAACATTTGGCGAAACATTGGTTTTGACATTTGATGTACTTCCCTTTGACAACCGGATACTTATTGGTTCTCACTGTCAATATTTTTCTCCATTTCATTACAATTCCTGCGAATAATGCACTAAAACATTTGGCGAAACATTGGTTTTGACATTTGATGTACTTCCCTTTGACAACCGGATACGGATGTCAAAGGGTACTCCAAAAATGGTAAAATAAGGAAAGTGGCATTTCAGATGACGTTACGTATTTTCAATTCCCGTGTTTGACATAAGTCAATTTAGTGCTATCTCTTTTATATAACGACGGCACGCAGTAGTTAAACAAAGACAGCAAAATGTTTAAGTTTTTAACGTCTAAATAAATGCATCATATACATATAACGTCTCATTTATATATGTCAATATAACATGTCCTTTGGTTTTCATAGTCTAGAAACCAAAGATGGAAACCAAAGGTCATGTTATATTGACAAATACGTGTGGCGCACTATAAGTTTCCGGAATGTATAAGAAAAAAATACTATAAATGGTCAGAAATGAATTTACTGTTTCTCAAAATATTCTCCGTTAGCGTTAATGCACTTTTTCATACGAATGAACCAATTTTGAAAACATTTATGCCACTCCTCCGTGACAATCTCTGAAATATATTTTTCATACTCTTCGACAGCCTCTTCAGGTGACGAAAATCGTTGACCGCGTAACTGGTTCTTAATTTTTGTAAATGAATAAAAATCACAAGGTGCCAGGTCGGGACTGTACGGGAGACGGCTCATAAGATCAACGTTATTCACCTTCAAAAATTCATTTGTCTGTCTGGCATTATCGTGGTGATGATACGGCGTTTACGGTTATTTTTACGGAGTTTGTCAATAACTTACGGAAGCAAATGGTCGTGTACCAATCACTATTCACGGTACAACGATTCTCCAAAACAACAGTAGCCACGTGTCCAGTTTTATTAAAGCAATCATCCGCTTAAGAGGTACTTCCCCACGCGCGCCACTTTGGTTGGTTTCGATACATCTCGAAGACCAATAAGTTCGATGGCTGCTTTGTTTTGGGATCGTAACTATAAATCCATATTTCGTCGTCATCTGTTACTATGTCCCACACCAAATTTGACGGTTTACGGTTATTTTTACGGAGTTTGTCAATAACTTACGGCAAGCAAATGGTCGTGTACCCATCACTATTCACGGTACAACGATTCTCCAAAACAACAGTAGCCACGTGTCCAGTTTTATTAAAGCAATCATCCGCTTAGAGGTACTTCCCCACGAGCGCCACTTTGGTTGGGTTCGATACATCTCGAAGACCAATAAGCTCGATGGCTGTTTTGTTTTGGGATCGTAACTATAAATCCATATTTCGTCATCTGTTACTATGTCCCACACCAAATTTGACGCCCCTTCGTTGAATTTGGTAAGTATGGCATTGCACCAAGTGACGCGATCCGTTTTTGAGCATCAGTTAGTGAGTGGGATTCACAGAGAGCACAACTTTTTCACACCCAAATGTTTGTGTAGTATTTATTGATTGTATTTGACTCATGCCTATGCCTAAAGATGCCCGAATGTCATGGTATCATACGGCGCACTGCATCGATGTTATTGTTGTTCAGAGCAGTGGATGGGCGACCATCACGAAATTCGTCACTGACCACAACCACGTTTGAATGCTGCAAACACCAGCTATAAATAGACGTCTTGCATGGTACTTTATCGCCAAAAGCAGATTGAAGCCGAGCGAAGCTCCGCTGAGGTGTTAATTTATTTAAAGTCATAGAAAATCATATTACGAAAATTTTCACGACTTAAATCCATGGTGATGTAAACAACCAATTTCTAAAATGACGCCACAATGTAAAAACAAGTGACAGTCAGATGAAACAAACTGTAATCTACAGACAAAGAGTTCCATTTTCAAATGATGTAATTACTTTTTAAATACAGTGTATGTAAGTGGCCAGTTCCGGAAATTCATAGTGCGCCATATGTATAAATCAGACGTTATATCTATATGATGCATTTAGACGTTGAAAACATAAACATTTTATTGTCTTTGTTTACCTACTGCGTGCCGTCGTAAGCCAAAAGAAATAACCTTGATTTATGTCAAACACGGGAATCGAAAATACGTAACGTCATCTTAAATGCCAACTGTCATCATTTTGCCATTTTTGTAGTAACCTTTGATAACCGTTTGCGGTTGTTAAAGGGAAGTACATCAAATGTCAAAACCAACGTTTGGCCAAATGTTTTAGTGAATTATTCGCATGAATTGTAATGAAATGGACAAAATATTGACAGTGAGAACAATTAAGTATTGATAAAAATGTGTCGCTGCAGCATAAGGGGTGCGGCACTAGAAAAAGCGGAAGTCAACCTATAAGTCTTGCCGAATTTTGCTTTGGTTAGAATATTTTGATGATTGTTGATAACGATTATTTTGAGATAGTGTTGTTCTTGTAAGCAGACATATTGTCGATATTCTGTAATTAAAACAATTCACTACGAGGTTTTTATTATTTCATTATTATTATTTTTAAAGTTTACCTACAAATGAAAATGTTTGGAAATTATAGGACTGCCGAACATAAACACTGAATCAAATACCATCTTCGTTTGTTCGCTCTATTTCGAACAGTCAAATTGTAATAGAACTTTGAATGTAACTAGATTACATGATAATGCAATTCCATCGTTACATTTATTAGTAAATAACTTTAAATTTAATTTTGATTAAAATGGCTCATTACTTGACTAGTAATAATAGCCTAGTATTAATCATACTTTGATTACAGTAAACTATACAAATTTGCAAACATAAAAAGCAGTTTCAACATTCAAGCCATACATTTGCATGTTGATATTGACTTATCTATGATTATGGTACAACACTAAATCCGCCATGTGTGGTATAATTTTGGTTTAGAGGTAGGTACATTTAATCCGTAAATAGGGCAGCTCCAGTTGCAGAATATAACGCCATAGACAAATAACTACATAAATAATTTGAAGTGCGAGTCCGTTTCATTTTCTTAAAATGTCGTTTCTTTAGTAACCGTTTTTCAAACCTACATGAAAGTGTTTTTTCGTTACATTGAAAGAAAGTGTTTTTTGAAACGCTTTCGGAAAATAACGCTCAGTTAATGTTGAGCGACGTGCGTGAGAAATAAGTTTTTTGCATTATTATACTAATAATTACAGCGAATAGCTTATAATTAGGCATTAAAACACTAGTGTGATGTTTTTATGAACCCACACTCGTATTTTAATGCCTTTCATTACGGAACGAACGTATTATGGAAAGTCGAATACCGTGTGTATGCATCTTGGCCTAAGTAATAGTACGCGCGGCCGACGCACGTTTCAGAGTGGCAGGGTTCATAAGAATTCGTACATTATAAAAATTCCCGCGTCCGGAATGCTTCCGCGACCCGCCTCTGCGTGGCTAGAGCAGCCGACTACAAAATTTGGTCACAGGCTCTGTACATTGGGCATAAAGATTCTTAAGTAATAATCTTGATTAACAAACAATCTATTTCCTGTATTATCAGTATTCAGTTTAAATAATGTTTACAAAACAAACACAATATTGCTTTCGAGCGCTCACAATCTGATAAACAACTTACAGAAAATTATTTGTGTTAAGTGAGACCGGTCATAGTAAATTTTAAAGTTCATGATAGTGCTCAAGCAAGAGGTTCTAAGTGGATCTGTAAATTATTTAAATGTTACGTGAATATAAATTAGTTTTACGTAGTTGTTACATTCATAATTTTGTAATTAATAGATCCAGGCGTTACCTTGAGGAAATCCATACTAACAACAATGGCAGTAAATTAATTTGCTGCTCCGCGAACTCTCATTGGGTTCAAATTAAACCGTGCAAAATAACTGCACTTGTGATGTGTATCTTTTATTCATGCAGTTAATTTAAATTTTTTTACGATCTTTCACCGCATTAAATAATAACGCACACGCACACACTCAACATAGCCCCGCACTAGGGAAACCCTGTGTCGCGGGTACCATAGTCAACCACAAATTACACCCAAACTCACGAGGGAAATAAATGTAGGCCATGCAAATATTTTGTCCCGGCCCGGGAATCGAACCTGGGACCTCTGCGTGGCAGTCCAGAATGGTAACCGTTCGGCTACGGAGGCAGTAAAATAAAATAAATAACACAAACGCAACTATAGTTACAAACACCATCACCAAAAGTATACCCGACACGTGTTTCGCCTCGTCGTTGCGCTTGATGTGTTATTTACTAATTTTATTAAAAATTAAAAAGAAATCTCAACATGAGCACAGCTATTTTACGCGATTTAACCTTGTCTGGGCTCGCGGGTTAGCAAATTAATTTATTTCGGACGATTTAACCTTGACTGGGTTCACAGACTATATTTATTTCCATTTTTGTCATAATCTTGTGTCAATTTTGTAAAAGTAATGTATTGTAATGGTAAATTATTTATGAGTAACTTAATTATAAAACCATTTTATTATTATTTTTTACAGATAACTAAATTATAATTTGCTTACCACCACCATTACTTTCTTGGTCTCTGTAACCACCGCGTCCACCCCGGCCCCCTCGGCCACCGCGGCCCCCTCGTCCGCCACGTCCGCGGCGTTCGCCATAACCGTTGGTGTCTTTGAAATCTGACACTATAATAAACAAAAGATTTTTGAAATGAAGAATGCTCAGTTAATATTGAAACATAAATTAGTTGAAACATAGGTTAAATAAACATAACCACCATTTGAAAGACAGGATCATTGGCTAAAAAAAAAATCTTGGTACACTGTTATATACTGGTAGGTAATGTAAAAATGTACAAACAAATACATGACGTGCGCCAATTCATGCACGGAGGAATTCCATCAAGCACTACACCAGTCCCTCAAAAATCCATAATTGTCAGAGCATTGGATTTGAAATTGTTCTTAAGATTTTATGGAAACTATCCAAGAGCTTCGCAAAATGCACTGAGGCCTTATTAGAATGTAATAAAACAAGTGAGCTAAAAGCGCAAAAATGGAATAACCCACAACAATACAAACATTACTTTAATAAATGATACTATTATAAAATATATATGCATTTATTGTAGAAAAAAATTAAATGTGTGTTACACCACTTTTGTGCTAATGGTCTCAAATATTGATGCAAATAATTAATTACCTTCATCGTTGAATGATGTAAAGCCCCTCCCTCTGGAGAGACTGTGACCTTCATCTACTTCATTCTCGTAATTGTTACTAGAATATGACGAATATGTCTGCGGCACCGCCTAAATAAAACGAGAAAGAACCTTGAAGTTGTTCTTGTTCTTCCAAGTGCGGAACTAACGCCAATGGAGTGTATAATTATGTACTCTGATTGGACATGGTTATGGGGCATTTTATTACAATATTTACGATACAAACTATGTACAGACGGCAGAATATTCAACATACACATTCTGCGACATCTTACACCGTATATCTATCTGGAGGCGATATTCGAACAAAAGTGTATAGCTTCATGTGCAGTTGATTGTACATATAGACATTATAACATGTGTAGGGCTAACACGACAGGGCGCGCAAGATCGACATAAAGAGCGAGCTAATGTCATAGGGCGACATAGGCCGGAGATATTGCTATTCTCCATCTAAAATAGCATTTAAAGAATGCTAACTGCCATGCAGAGGTCCGGGGTTAGATTCCTGGGCTGGGAGAAATATTTGTACAGCCTACATTTATTTCTCTTGTGGTGTGGATGTCATTTGTGGTGGTCTTTGTGTCCCCATGGCACTGATACAGCCTTTCCCTAGTGCGACGCTATGAGTATATGAGAATAACCTAGCCTCTGGTTAAAAAAAACCGACCTCAAAAGTCATTCACCCCCTAGTTTACCACCCTTAGAGGTGGAATATTTTCTTCAAATTTGAACCAGACCACTTCTGAGGTACCCTCTCAGAATCATCTCTATAATAACCTATAATAATCTCTAAGAATCATCATTATCGGTTCACAAATGGCGGAGTTATCGCGTAACATACATACAAAAAAACATACAGACAAATTGAGAACCTCCTCCTATTTTTGAAGTCGGTTTAAAAAAGCAGTATCTCGCGCAAGTCGCGGCTTGTTGTGCTAGCTCAACTGCTACAGGATATTCTACTAAAATATTAACAAAGCAGTCAACCATCAATGCACTAGGAGAACTTAACACTAATTGGACATAGCCAAAAATAATCCAATCCACAAAATTATCAAAAAATTTGTTATATGTATGAAAAGGTTCCTAAAGTCTAATCTCTTAGATCAGCAAAAAATGCAACATATGACATTATAAGATTTGAAAATAAAACAAAAGTGTGAAACACTTTTAAACTTCAAACTGCCATATTGTCTGTGAACTGGCAACCGATACTATCTCAATTTTGACAACTTTACAGGTGAAGAAAAAATAATTTATATAGCATCTTTTTTATTAAATAAAAATATGTAGCGTACAGTGTAATAAAAATATCTAAAAACTACGCATTTTTATTTAATCTATGATACAGTATAATAGTGCATATATGCAGAATTTCACTATGGTCCCACACAATGGGACCTTAACAGAATAAATTATTCTTGGGTCAGTGCCTAGATTACATTATTGTAACCTACGCCCAATATCATACATAATTTTAACATATTTAATATCATACATAATTTTTATAATCTGACTCTATGCATTTTTCATAATAAAAATTTGTTTTTAACAAATTTGAAAGTTCATTATGCACCTCATTTTTATGATCATTAGAAATAAAAATTTTGTTAGCAAAGACTGCACTGTATGAATAAAAAATAAAACAAGCAAAAATTGCCTGCTGTTGCTGGAGAAATGCCTGGCATTTCCCGCCAACACTGTTTTAATCTAAACATTTGTCATTTATTGAGGTAATAGTATTGTGGACAAAGTTACATCTGGAACACATGGACTGGCTGCATATGAAAATGTGCATTTCATAAGATACAATAATAGTAGAACTTACTGCCACTTCACCAGCTTCATCCCATTCATCATCCATCTTCTGCAAACAAAAATTTTCAATTACAAAAACAAATTAAGCGATTCATTTGGTAAAAAAAAATTAGAGAGCTTTTATGAGAATATATACGTGTTCCCTAAATTAAATATATTTTTTACGTCTACTGTGCCACAAACGAAAACTGCCTTCCTCGTACTACTTGATTTATCAAGGGCATACTTTTTTATGAATCGGAATGTAGGTAGCTATAAATAATAATACATTGTATGTATAAATGTTCGAGTTAAGCGGATACTTGAAATGCGATAACCACGCGAAGTGCGCAGATGGGATGCTATGATATATTTGTTCTAAAAGTACCTCGTATAAGGTTACCGTGCAGATACAAGAACCATGGAAACAGTAAAATTTAAAAGCATGCCAAAACAAAGGAAATGTATTATTTGTATGGGTATAAACCGGCATCTAAGAAGCAAATCCGCTCGTGAGTAAAAACGTGTAACTAACACAATTTCACTGACTTTGATATATTAAATAGCACAATGAACAAGAATACTTACTTTTTAATTTGGTTTGTTTCAAGTAATATCGTAATTTTCAACAAAAAATACGAATAAAATGCTTGACTTACAAATATGGCGACTAATGGTAGAAGAGAGAAAGATAAAAGGTAAAATTAAGAAGGCAAGCATGCGGCAGATATATTTTTTAAATTGAAGTTGCCATATTTAAAAAGAAATTTAGATCATGGATTTGGATAAAATTCTGATTTATATGAAAACTACATAACTACTGTGTTATTACCTGTAATATAATTAATAAATAATTATTATATAACTGGTACTTAGACCGTCCTTACAGCAGACGACATAGAGTTGAGTTTAATTCCTAAGTGTAAAGCTTGACTTTGAAATAATACAAAAATAAATAAAAATAAAAAAATTGTAAAATTTAAAATAATACAAATTTTTCCGGAAACGTTCCCGAAAAATTGGAAAAATATAATTTCGAAGGAGTACGAATTCTAGGGTCGTATTCCAGAACTGTACTCAATGCTCAAGTCAGGATTTGAGTAGACTTGAGTATGATTTCAAGCACTGGCAATACAACCCTAATGACAAGGACTTGAGTATGATTTCTAGTGCTTTGAATCATACTCAAGTCAGGACTTGACCCTGAACGAAATACGACCATAATGGAAGGGAATTGAGAATACGACTCAGAGAGTCGTATTCTAGAACTCTACTAAATGCTTAAGTCAGGACTTGAGTATGATTCAAAGCACTAGAAATCATACTCAAGTCCCTGCCATTAGAGTCGTATTTCCAGTGCTTGTGTTGCCAGTGCAATCCTGACTTGAGCATTGAGTAGAGTTCTGGAATACGACCCTTGAAGTCTAAAAGGGCATACAAAAATGTCTAAAAGGGCAGCTATATTAAAAATAGCAAAAATAAACTTTTGACCCCAAATCACGATTAAGGACTCCTAAAAACCCTTGCATGCCAATTTTCAGCCGGATTGAAGCAAGTTTTTCTTCGGCCGAATTTTTTTTAACCTAGGCAGTTGACTAGGCAGTGTTACCCTCTATGACATTCCTTCGAGCACTTCCTACCTATCTCTAATAGATTCCGTGATAGGGGGCTTTGAAATTTGTATGACAGCCATCTTATTTATTTGAAATTTCAAACATTTTTTACTTCCCGTGGAAATTGACCAGGATGTACTTCTTAAAAATGCACAAATACTCCCTCCGTATATTATAGTTTTTGCAGGCCGTTGATCACTCTTTCACATTTTCCATATTCAGGTCCTTTCATATTTGATTCTTTGCTTTGGAGCCTATCCGCGTACAACGGTTAAATATCTTTTTTCCACCATATCGGGAAGTATGCGTTCTATTTCTATCAGTGAGTAAGAACTTGTAGCTTTATATATATAAACATATACAGTACCTACACGGATTCCCATCGAGTTATAATAAAAAAAAATTATCATAGAATGATATACATTCAGAATCGATTCGAAGCATTCGAATCAATATCGGTTTTCAAATAGACTTGTCTTGTCGCATTACTAAATGTCAAAAAAAAACTACGCAAGCAAGTGCTTTGGGTGATGTCGGTCAGTGGTATAAATAAACATTTTTGTGTTATTTCGTAAAATAGTTGCTTGTAGTCGCCCTTCGTTGTCGATAGATACCTAAAAATGAACTATAAAAAGACTTTTATTACGGATTTAACGTGACAATGGTTTCGATAAATTGTGTTTGAGTGCTATCTGTCGCTGTTGGCGTCCTTGTTTTTTATGGTTCAAGTTTACAAATTAGACGGGACCATGGCAGCAGGCGAGCCAGTTAAGGTGTCGGTGGTGACTGACCGAGTGGTCAATGTGATAAATTGCTCTAGGGATCTAACAGCTGAGGAGCTTTGTATAATTTTGTGCAAGAAGCACAAGATACCTCCCATAACACGTACTTTGTTTGCGTTAAGAGTTAGAGGCAAAAATTATTTCCTCAAAGATAACTTTAAAGTTCTAAATAGTACGCGAGATTATGAGTTGAGGATTCGTTTCAAGGTAATGTTGATATTTCTTTTGGTAATAATTTATAATTTATTTATGTTAATTATAATTTTAAATAACAGTAAACAAGTAATTCCTACTTCGCCAAAAGATAATTTTTATGGTACCAAGTTTGTATCTCTGCAGGCTACTTTATTATTATTATTTATATATAGAGCCATCAGCTTAAAAAGGTCACAAGTAATTAAGAAACTCAAAAGGTAATATACTTAAACTAAAAAATTTATTTGTGTCAAAACAGCAACTCTTGAAAATCTCAGGGGCTAATTTACAAATAAAACATTTTATTAGTGTTCGAAACTTAAAATGGTTCAGTGTCTCTTTATGAGTGTTAGATGTTAGAGTGGAAGGAAGGACTTTAGTAAAAGCGACGTAAGGGTTGGTAGAGGGGAGGACCCCCCTGCAAAATTTCAAACTTAGGACGTTGATAGTTTTTGAGATATTAATTTCTGAAAATTCAAAAAAAATAAACCTCAGAATTATATATTTTCGCACCAAATGCACGGGAAAAAGAGTAAAAAATGTGGGAATGAGGGGTAGGCGAGCGGAACCCCCCCACGAAGTAACAAACTACGAATATTAATACTTTTCGAGAAAAAAAATTAAAAAATAACCTCAAAATAATATATTTTGACGTTTAGTGCACACACGGACTCCAATATCTACCTATATCGATCCAATTCGTTTTTGCCCAGAAAGACTTCTGCGTTTGTGTAAAAGTAACCTAACTTTACCTAAATAATCCAATTTGTTTTTGCCCAAAAACACTTCTGTGTGTGTATAAAAAAACCTAACTTAACCTAAATAATCCAATTCATTTCTGCCCAGAGGGACTTATGCATTTGTACAAAAAAAAACCTAACTTAACCTAAATAATCCAATTCATTTCTGCCCAGAGGGACTTTCACGTTTGTATAAAAAAAACCTAACTTAACCTAAATAATCCAATTCGTTTCTGCCCAGAGGGACTTCCGCATTTGTATAAAAAAAACCTAACTTAACCTAAATAATCCAATTTGTTTCTGCCCAGAGGAATTTTCACGAATGTAATTAAAAAAAAACTAACAATCTTTATACACAATGAACAACAACATAAATACACAGAAAAAACACTCTGTAAACGGCTAAAAAGCTTTCCGTGAAAAGCCAAGAGAAATAAGAAAAAAAAAACAAATGCGATAAATATCATTGCATTTTATATTACCAAATTGTTTTTGAATTATCATTACTATTTCAAAGTAACCTTCTTAAGAAATAATATTTTAAGTATAATGTAAATGCTATTAAATAGTGTTTAAAAAACCAATAAAACATAATATACTTTCAAAATTTAAACAACACATGATATCATTACAGTGGAATGTCGAAACGCAGGACATTAAATTGCATCTGCCTGTTTTTTTGACATAATTTTCGGATTAGGTAGTTGTCAAATGCGTTTATTTGCTTTGATTTTCACTATTTTCAAAAATTATTTTGTCAAAAACCTTTGGCGTCCTAAAACTGAAAATTTGTGGAGGGGTTTCTTTTGACTAGGTCTATGTCCAAAATTAATTTGAATGCACAAACGATGTCACATATACTAAAGTTGAGCCGAGTGGAATACTATTTTTTTTAAACAATACTTTCACAATGAATATGGTGATATAATATAATGCACTCAATGTAGGTTTCTTGTGTATCTACTACAGTGCAATAATTTTTTTGCTGGAACTAGCTTTCTACAGTACCTGGCTTGATAGGCAACTTCCATCAAATCTATCCAGTCACAGGTTTGATTCCCGGGCCGGGAAAAATATTGTATGACCTACATTTATTTCTCTCATGTTGGCTATAATTTGTGGTTGTGTACATGGCACCCGCGATATTGGTTTTCTTCGTGCGTGTCTATGAGTGTGTATTATTATTATGTTATATGGTATCATATGGTATATGTTGAGTGTGTGCGTTATTATTATTATTATTATTATTATTATTATTATATTTGCACTTTAATATGTCTAACTGTCCAACTGATTTCTGGTTTAAATAGTGCACATTTATCAACAATGAGTTATTTTTTAAATTACTTTGCCATTACACAATGTTGTTGTTGACCTATAACTTTTCTTACATAGTTCCTTTGAAATGAAATTATAATGTCTGATACCAACAATAATCATAAACAACAATATTAAATACAATTTATCTCATAATAATTTCAACTTGTTAAACATAATTAGTTTGACTACAAAATTGTCTTTTCATTCAAACCATACATCACCTTTCTTTCCCAAACTCGTATTTTAAAGCACAAAGTTACTGAAATGCAAAAATGGATTGTGTATACAAATTTTGCAAGGTGATTTCACATCACATTTCCTTCATATTTACACACTAGCTGTTACCTATTCTTAAAGTAATGCATCCAAATTAACACCCTTGATAAGAAATTTAAAATTAATAGAAGGTTTTGGTGTCTCCCGAATAATCATTTTTTATAAAATACCAGTTTGAGAATGTAAGGCATCTAGATATGTCGAAAGGTGTGCGACTACATATGAATTTGCATATTTATTGTTGAATGGAAACATAATGACTATTTTCACAATATACATCAAAACTGACATTGGCCTAAGCTTACTGGCTGCCATTAAGAAAATTAATAATAATAATAATTAAAATAACTATTTTCATTTGAAAGTAATAATTTTCTAGCAATAATGACTAAGAATGCGCTTTCATCTCTAGCAAAAAACTTTGTTTATAGTGTTATCACAAAATTAGTAACAAATTAGGTGCATCCATAGATATAGGTGCATCCTAGTAACAATCCATGATTTAGGAGCAGATCTCAAATCTTATATAGTTTCTAGTTAGTGACATTTTGACAAAGTAGAGTCAATATAAATGAGGTATGTAATTTTGTACTGGCTGGTAACAATATACTGTGTAGAATAGGGTCTAGTAGTAGTAGTAGAATATCAATACCTTACTTTCTCAAACTCGTATCTTATAAAGAGTGATTATTCAGGAGATGGCAAAACTTTCTATTTATTTCAAACTTCTTATCAAAGGGGTTAACTTGGATGCATTACTTTAAAAATAGGTAAAAGCCAGTGTATGAATAAGAAGGAAATGTAATGTGAAATCAGCCTGCAAAATTTATATGTACAATCATTTTTTGCATTTCAGTAGCTTTGTAATTTAAGATACGAGTTTGCGAAAGTAAGGCGACGTATGTAAATGGCATAAATGCAAGTTACTTCATGCCATGCAACTTATAAATCACCCACAATGTGATTGAAGAAATTGTAAAATCACATAGGTGTGAACAGATGTGGGCTCAGTAAACGTTTTATAGTCCTGCCGGTTATATATATAATGTCAATCAGAGAATGCATTCTCTCAAATTGGAAGAATTAAAAAAAATGAAAATATTGAGCAAACCAGTTAATAGAAGCACTAGGAGAGACTACTTATAATACTAATGGCACTTCATCATCCTATTCATCTCATGAAGCAAAGATATAAGATAAAAGTGGAAAGGCATTTGGAATTTTTCTTATAAAGAAGATATAAGAAAAAAATTAATTTTAATTGATTTTGTGTTTCAGTGGGATTGTTTACTGACTAAATGTTATATTATTATCATCAATAGACTCATTTGCTCTCTTTCACACCCATTGACACTACACCTGTATAACTGTGAATTTAAAAATAGGATTAGATAATACTTACCTCCACCTAATTTTAGTCTCTTAATAAATTACAATTCTGTGTTCTGTGCTCTAGGTACAGCGGCTAGGCCACTTATTGACGCTGGACGACACAACCTACGATTACTACTTCCGACAAGCAAGAGATGATATCAACAAGTATAAAGTCCCCGAAATCAAATATGAAGAACATAAACGAGAGTTGCTAGGTCTTGGCATTGCAGACATGTAAGTACCTATTAGTACACTGCTTGTACACATATGTAAAATTTCAGGGATAGTTAATTGGTAGGGATTGTTATCTGCCATGAGACAGTTGAAGGCACAGGCCACAACCAGAGGACTTCATAATATAATCATTAATCATAGGATCACAATAGATCATCAGTTAATGGTCGCAGTGGTGGAAGACTGCTTAGGCTCAACCAACTCAAAAGTTTGCACATCGGCTTTTTTATTGGAATTACGTCTATTTGCCAAGTTTTATTGTAATTGGTTAACGGAAATTACGCGAAACTGGATTCAGCCCCTAGATTGCTACACTTAGAGGTGGAATATTTTTTTTCAAATTTAAATGGGATCAATATTGAGGTACCCTCTTTCACTTTCACAAAAAAATCAACAAAATCGGTTCCCAAATAGTAATCGCGTAACATACGTACGAAAAAATACAGTCGTATTGAGAACCTCCTCCTTTTTTGAAGTTGGTTAAAAATAGGTTTTTTGTGTCATCAATTATCTGAATTTGGCAGAAATATCAACCACTCTCTGTTAAATTGCCGTGGGAAATGGTATCTCTGGATAAAGTAACATCATAGAATAATAAGAGTAAGTAGGACAACTCTCGCCTGTTCCACTCGTAAATGTCTACACTTCGCTCGAAGCGTAGGGTTGTTACATTATTATTTTAGTTGTTCCTACAGGTTGTAAACAATATAATTAAAAAAAATGAAGGTGTTCATCACAAGTACTCTAATGCTATATTTAAATTTTTTTTAATACATTACATACATATTGATATTATTATACCAGCATCTCGGATTGATAATATATCTGATTATGGAATATGATTATGAAATGAAATGCTGAACAATTTTGAATTTGAGGCACTCTTGTTAAAACTGCCACTAACACAATAATAAACACGTCTATTATTTGATGTCATTTTTTCACTTCACTTCAATTCTATAATTTATGACGTATGAGACGACCGGCGCTATTCAACGCGAGTCCACCGCGAGATTTTGCGAATGTCTGCGCGTTTGTATGGAGTTACCGTGTTAGTCTTATCCTTCGTCTTCTTTTTACTTATTGGCGGTGCCCTTTTAGGATTTCGCCAGATCAAATACGAGAGTCATGCCAAAAGAAATTAGATTTTCAAAAATTGCTAAATTTTTTCTTTATTACAGGTCGATTTTTGATCGATTTTTTCAAAGTATTCACCGTGAACACATATACACTTTTTTATTCGTCTAAACCACTTGGAAAATATCCAATTAATTTTGTCGCCTAAGTTTCAATTGAAATACGATACAGGTATGAGTATCTTGCACGCTAACACAATGAGCTATAACCGCTTAATTGTTCCGCCAGGAACAATGGATGGCAATTACTCAAATTACAAAATTGATCTCTCATTTAATTTAGCAGCTGGTCATTGATGGGCGGCTTCTATCTGATATAATTTTGCTGATTATGTTATTAGAAATAAAACGTTTTTCGTAATAAAAATAATAATATAAACTTATTTATTTTTATTTATTTCTTACGTTTTTGCGATTGTCACACATAGGAACAATTTTTTCGGATTTAAATCGCGCATATATGTCGTTTCGGACCCTTTACAGGTCCCATGGTCACGGCTGACTACTACTTCACTATTTTTATTATTATTTATTTCTTCGAAAATGGCTGTTTGCCACACGTTTATAGTGTTCTGGCACAAATTAATGGTGCAATTATAAAATACATAATTATAATGTTAACTGGTTTTTAACCAGAATCAAAAAAAGGAGGAGGTTCTCAATTTGACTTTATGTTTTTTTTTGTATGTATGTTACGCGATAACTTAATTTGTGAACCGATTTTGATGATTCATTTTTGATGAAAAGAGGATACTCCAGTAGTAATCCCATTTAAATTTGAAGAAAATATTCCACCTCTAAGGGCGGCAAATTAAGGGATGAATCCGGTTTCGCGCACTTTTCGGTAACAGATTTCAATGAAATCTGCAAAAATAAATGGTAAATAGATGTAATTCCACGAATTTTGAGGTCGGTTTTTTAGTACTCTGTACTGAGATTATAAAATTAACAGGTACGTACAAGGTTTTAAAAAGCATTGCACAGTTGTCAGTATTGTATGGCAAATTAAAAAAATCTTTATACAAATCGAACTTCACAACTCAACAGTCTTACAATTAAAGTGTGTGCTCACATTACAGTCAGTAAAATTTTATGTTCATGGTTTTTTAACATGGGACTTGTGTACCAAGGTAAACCAACTTTTTACTTTTTTTAAATAAAATTTCGTTGAGTTTTGGGACAACCTGTACAAAGAAAATATAAATATTTTTGTATAAAGAAAACATTGTAATAAATTTTCTGCAAGTCAGATATAACATCAAATGGTATTCTATAATCGTGAATAGTTTCTTGTACACTGATCATACCAAAAATATTGAATTATGTTTTAAAGAAAAAATAACGAATAATCAAAATAATGTTTTTTTACGTTAAAGTAGTAAAAAGGAACTGGAAAAAAAATTATGAATAAAATAAATAAATAAATATTAGACAACTTCATGCACGTTGCTTCGATCCTTCGATGTATATTTTAAAATATAAAACTAGGATATTATACTATCATATTTTATCAATTCAGATTGAATTTCTGAGATTGTCAAGTACCCTTAAAAAACAATTTTCTTCCACGCCTACAGTGTGGCAAAAGTTGTTTGACCCACGAATCATATACAATGAAATGTAGACAAAAAAATAAATAGATTTTCGCGAACCGCAAAATACCTGAACACGTTTAATAGATTAAATGTTATTAACACTTGACCAAACGTGTAAGATTATTTGACTGTAATTTCACTACGTGAATAAATAAAAAAATAAGGCGACTGTCTAGACGAATACAGTTTATCTAAACAAAGCGAGCATTCTGGTTTTTAGATTTACGTGTCAGATTTTACATGTTTGTTTCGTAGATATCTGCGACTTGTTTGTTCGTTAAGTCCTTATTATATACAATCATTGTAGTTTTGATTCGATTATCATATTTTTGTTATAACGAAGGGGGAAAAGAAGAATGGGTACTAGTTCTTGGTTGTAATTTAATTATCGTTTCCATGTAAATAGATTAATCGTTATCAATGTAGTCATTTTAGCAATTAACTGTAAGCAAATATATGTAAAATGTGGTCAAGCGTATAACTCAGTCAACACTTCTTATCGTATCGACGGCGTACACTATAATGCTTGACATCATGGTGAAAGGATTTGTCAACCGGCATTAAAATATTCGCCTATTATTGCCCAGGGTAAGCTAGAGGTACAGGGAAGGAATGGTACGTCATGCGAGGGGCTCCTTTCGTATAGCCCTCATCATCAGACGATAGACGCGCGGCCGCCGCGCGTTTCAGTGTGGCAGGGTTCATACAAACTCTTACTTTCTCGCGCCCGGAACGCTTCCCTGACCGCTTCTGTGTGGCAGAGCATATAGGGGGAATACTAAATACTTTTTATAAACCCGCTGATACTTCTTAAGGCTTGTTTTTGGAGTTTGACTAGTTTTGATACGTGTGTTTTGGCACTAAAAACTGATTTTGGTAAAAAACATGCATAGTTTAATCTACTCCTAATACGTGAATGTAAAATATGTATAATGCTCTTAAATATTTTCGGTGTACTCCCCGATTAGAACCCGCTAAAACTTTTAGGGTCGTATTCCAGAACTCTACTCAACACTCAAGTCAGGACTTGAGTATTGCAGTGAGCACTGAAAATCATACTCAAGTCCTTGTCATTAGGGCCGTATTTCCAGTGCTTGAAATCATACTCAAGTCTGCTCAAATCCTGACTTGAGCATTGAGTAGAGTTCTGGAATACGACCCTTAGAATGTTTAGATATTTGAATTTTTTCGTATTTTTCATTAATATGTTTCCTCCATAATAAAGTTTATTCTCTATATCGAACCCTGTGGTCTGTGATCTAACCAAAGTACTAAATATTTTATATTCTGCGATTGTACAATTTGGTTACCTTCAACATTCAAGTTAATCTGTTGTCTTTTGTTTTCTCTATTAAATATGCACAATTTCAATTTAGCACAACATAGTTGTAAACCAAGATCCTTCAATAATTTGCATACTTGTCTCACTCTCAGCTATCACAAGAGCTAAAGTTTGTTTATTTTTGGCCTATAAAGAATTACGTCAATATTTCCAATCTGTAAATAGATTTGTGTTATTGGCCCTGATTTTACATATCGATACTGAAGTGTTGATGTAGCAGGATTAAATTTTCAAGTTCTTTCCGTCAGTTTAGTGTCTAAAAAAAATTTTTGGGATAAATGTTTTGCGAAAAATATTTCTTCGTCTAAACTGATTTTATTTCATAAGTATTTATAAAATATTTTTCTATCTATATATATATTTCTATTTTTTTTAATTAAATTTTTTATTTCTTAAATATTTGTTTAAGAAAAATACGCGTAAAAATGTAATTTTTTTCTAAACTTTAGACGAAGAAATATTTTTCGCATTGTTACTAAGTGACGAGATAGTATTTATGTGGTCTGTGGATAAGATGAACAAGACGTGACGCCTGGTGGTAAGCGACACGTCTGTCCATAGCAGTTACAGTACCACTCAGAGCTTTGAAATTGCAAAGATTTGAGGGATACTACCACTGTGTCCGTTACTCTGAGACATAAGTTGACAAGTCTTCTGTGTCTGTAATTTCACCAGCATCCTTACCATTAAAAACTGGAACACTATAATACCAATATTACCGTTAGGCGGCAGAAATAGGTAAGGTGGCAGCACTCCCCTGTACGAACACTTTAGCAATGAGCTCTACTGCTTCTATATAAACAGCTGTAAAAACTAAAAAGGATGTGAACGAAAACATTTATAAAGATGACTCGCCTTGCAAACTTTGTTATTTGACTTTTACGTCTTTTCTTCGCTGAAGAATCGATATAATTTGTAGCCACCTACCAGCACAAGTTATATTCTAGACTTTTTAAGGCGACTATTAACGTTCTCGTCCTTGTCCACTTCTTTACTTTCTAGCAGCTGAGATTGGTGGGACAAGCGTGAGACTATCTCTAATATGAAGAATTACATTTCTTGCACTTCTGATTAATAATGTTTTGTTTACAGGGCTCGTGCTGTCTCAGAGGAAAAGTTATTGGTGAAAGACGTGTTAAAAAACTATAAGAAATTCACACCCAATGTAATTGTAAGGAAACATGGGATGTTCGCCAAAAAGTACGCACATGAATATGTTCCACAGCTTTGTGGAGTTGGACATAAAGTCAAGTAAGTGTTTTTTCTTACTTTACTATAGCATACTGGACCTTATGTTTACATTCTTTCTACAAATTTATTTGTGGTATACAAAGGGTGGTTAAGGTATTGCGGCAATATTTAAGATAATTAAATTGTAGCACCAAATGAAATTTAGAATTTATTTAACATTTGTAGGTTTCTGGATAAAGTGAATTTGATATACAAATTACATTCTAAAAATGCCATTGTATTGTTGTCAAATTAAAAAATCACAAACTGTAAACTTTCATTTCAATTGTAACAAAATATAATTCACTTCTACCTTTTTGGTTTATACAATTATAAAACAGGCAACTTATAAAAAAACACAAAACAATGAATTAAAACATAAAATGATAACGATAAGTTTGTATAATGCACGCGAATAAAAAAATAAGGAAGAAAACGCGATATACAAACAAAAAAATAAAGATAAACAAAAAAATGGTTGGTTCTATGTACTTTACTATTTATTATTGTAGGAATATTAATAAGGTTAACAAAATATGAGATAGCAATTGTTTTCTGTTTGTTTAATGAATTTGTGTTTTATAATTTAATAACAATATTAAAAAAAACATAGTGTAATAATACATCGTAAGCCAAATATACACTAATTTAATGTTCGAAGTTTCATTGAAAGTTAATTTCGACTTCGCAGCTGGCAACTTCCAAGTAAATTTATTCTTGAATAAATAAGTCTCCTTTTTCTCCTCCTCGCATAGTCAAAGAGTCATACATTAATATATTAAGGACTGTGAAGTCCGGGAACTACCTATAGCATAATAGTTATTTTGAAAAACGTTTGCTATCTCGGTAATGCTCTTTCTCCTAGTACAAGTACAAACTATAAGCACACATGGAGACAGGGCGCCGTGAAATATATATTTTTTGTATGATTTATAGTAAGTATTTTATAGATTCTAGTGTAATTTTCGAAAATTAAGTTAATTATTTGTCTTTTTTGATCCGGTTCGACTAGGTATTACAATATTCATCAATTAATGACCACAGTGAAATTTTTGTTTACTAAAATATGGAGACTTAAATACCCATTAAGATAGTAAACCACACATTTTCTTTTGTAAAGCCTGAACAAATTTCAAAACATTTTACAGACATATTTGCTACGTTTACAACTAGAAATAAACAGGCAATAATAAAAAATGAATAAATAAAATAAAAAGATGTTTATTTATAAACAAAACACAAACTAAATATAAGCGAACAGTTAAAAAAAACAAAACAACAGTAATGTGGACAAAAAGGATCTCATGTGATCATTGACTTACAATTATATGGACGTCGGGTCCGCGCTAAAAAGTGTCCGCACTTGTAAGGCGCTAAAATCGTATACAAAGCGCGACACTCCGCTTTAGTCTTCATTTGTTCTACTGACAGCGCGATACTGCGATGACATTACAATTTAAATTTCGAATAGGTTGACTTGGGACATTTTTTTCGTGGTTTTTGTATTAGACCCGTCGTCCATTTATTTGTAAGTCAATGCATGTGATATATTTCTTTAAAAAATATCATTCCGGTTTAAACCTTATGTAATTTGACGATTTTGACCTGAATCAGTACATTTCTAGAAACTTTTAGATGATTATTTAAAAAATTGTTAAAACATAAAATTATTAACTTGGTTAAGGGTGCTGGCCCCGGTATGGCAGCAGACACTTTCTTTGATCTTTGTATCAATAATAATTACAAACCGATGGAGTATTTACAGAAAAAATATCTGAAAATCAAGGTAGTAAATGTCATGATATTCAATAAATAAATACTTATGAAATTACTAATTCATCATATTAATAACACAAAAAAAATCATTGAAATTGGTTCAGTTTAACTGGTACACTAACGTTTTATCTTAACCGTTAAACACACTGACAACGGGTGCTGGTCGGTCGCGTGTCGGGTCGGGAGCACGGCGGTTGTAATTCCGTGTATTTATATGGACGACAAAACACCACCAGGACACGACCTGCGCCCGTTTCGCGTCCGCGCATGGTGTATTATCGTCCAAATAAATACACGGAATTACAACCGCCGTGCTCCTGACCCGACACGCGCCCGACTCGCACCCGCTGTCAGTGTGTTTCACGCTTTATTGTACGGCTTTAAACTTCTTAAATTAAACAGTTATAGGCAACGAATGTCAAACGCGCGAAAGCGCAAATGCCTGCAGATTTGATCGATTTTTTGACGATCGACTTGTATCGAAATACAAAAAATGCGGTATCGCTCGTCTGCTTTTTACAATTTTACAAATTTTTCTGTTCTGTTTGATCACACGTGTTGATCGTCAAAAAATCGACCAAATCTGTAGGCACTTTGTTTTAATGGCCTAAAAAGTTGCCAGAAGTTGAATTTGCCCTCGGGACCTTTGTAGAAATAAGAGGTGGGCACTCGTCAGGTCGGTTGTTGACCGGTTAATGGTTGACAAGTTTGTTATAAACAATTCCACAACATAGCCAGATACCAACTGGATCTCAATTGACAGTTGTAAGTTACAACTGTCATTTACTACGTAAAAAAACTCGACTATATTTTGCACTTCTTTTTCAGACAACTTAAAAACTTCTATCTGCAGCAGCTGTACAGTTTAGCACCAAATTACTTAGCGGAAGAATACAACAATGTGATGTGGAAAAATGGCGATGATATCATTCCGGTGAAGATCGTCATCGCACCATTTCATCCTCAGCAACCCGGAATACGAATGTACAATACGATTACATGTGACGTGAGTTTTACATATTTATATAAAAATCATATTCATCATATCATATTATATTATCATATTATACAAAACGTTTTTAAGTCCTACTTGCAGTACGATTGCTTTGACACGTTACGTTGTAACAAAAATATTATTTAAGTTGGTGATTATCTGGCAGAGTATATTTACCCAACCTTCAAATAATATACGTAGAGTCGATAATACCTCCTGGAATCCCGGAACGATTAATAATAAAACGGCATATAATTAAAACAAAATAGTTATATTTTTACTTACAATACTTTTCTTCTAACTACTGCCGTAGTAAAGTTTTTGTTAGAAACACATTAAAACTATAGAACAAAATACAATAACTCTGAGATTTCAGAAAGACGTATCATCCACTCCATGTGTATTACTTGGTTGAGTGTTCAGAGAAATACGCGAGATATTGCTAGAATAGCTATATCGCGCGCTTCCCTGTCGCTT